GTGTGTGTGTGTGTGTATATGCGTGTGTGTGTGTGTGTGATCGAAGGTGGACCATATGAGTTGTTTCAGATTTGACTGAGTGTAAAGTGTAAACTGTCAAATTTCTGATATTAATTTTAGGATTTTTGATGGTGCGTTGAAGTTATAATAGTATAAATTTCAGTTTGGAAGTGTAATGGGAATTACAAAATCAAAATCAATGCAGAAAGATGATTGTGTGTTGCCGCGTCTTGGAAATGGACAATTTGAAGTCGGATGTGCGGAAATAATGATCAGTGATGAGGATGATATGGGTATCCTATTGACAGTCTATTATCCGTCCGATAAAGCACACCTATCAGATGTTCGTTATTTGTAATGCTGTAACGATAATTTGAAACTTTTCAAGATCAAATGATATCATGAAATATTTGTTAACATTTTGAGGAGGAACGATGCAAAGTATCGGAAAAGTAAGCTAAAATAAAAGATGCAAGCAATCGATAGTAATTAATTAAGTAAATATTACTGCAAACGGTAACACTATGCTACGTATGATTAAAAAGGATAGGAGTGGAGATTTTTTTTTTTTTGTTTAGGAAAGAGCGGAACACCCTTTATGGCTTCCAAGGGAGGAATACATTGATGGTTTAGCAGATTATCGGAATTCATCTTCTCGTTGGATGCATTTCATGTATAGGTGGTTTATTGGTGAGAAAAGGTATGCCCAGCAAATAAATACGACTGAAACAACAATATTCATGACAACTTTCCAATGCAGTTTTTTTTTCTTAAGAAGATGTAAAATAGTTGAGAATTTCTTATTTCCCATGAAGTTTTTCCTATTTTTTGAACAGTTATGATAAATAATGAACCTGGAGAAAAGAAAATGACGTGAGAAAAGCTGGAAGTATGTGGATGGTGGTGATGATCACGTGGGGAAACTAAGCGGTGCAAATATTTCTTTGGGTCATTTCTTCTTAGCTTTTACAATAATTATTATCAACTTTTTCATATTTAATTTTATATTACCGCACTTATTAATTGCAGGATTCCTGCGCTTTGGCATATCACATTAAATGAAACGGTGACTAACTATCCGATTTTGATATTTTCTCATGGCCTTTCAGCATGTCGTCACTTTCACTCAATTTATTGCTCATCATTAGCAAGTCATGGCTATGTTGTAGCAGCTGTTGAGCACAGGTAATTCACTTTTTCCATGAAAATAATAAAATGACACTGCTGCATTACTATAAGGGTAGCTGAAGAATGATGCTGTAGAATTCGGTACAGAAACTTACAACATTTAAAATTATCTCAACAGATCAATTTGAATTTATAACTTTTCAGGGATTGTTCAGCTTGTTGGACGTATAAATTTGAAACTGATGAAAATACGGGGGAAAAAATAGAAGTGCCGGTGAAAATTCGTAAAGTTATGCCAACCGATGATGAATTTCAGTTACGAAATGAACAAGTTTGCAGTTCTTAGCTTTTTTATTAAATTTATTAAAAATAATTTGAGCCAAATTGTAAGTCCAACAAATGTATGAGAAGAAGCAGATAACTGAGGACAAAATTGATGGAATGCTTCAGTAAAAATACTTCTCGTGGTTTATAGCATGAAATACCTATTAAAAGAATTCGAAATTCTGGATTAGAGCTTTTGAATAAATAATTCCTACCTCACCCTTTGTTAAACTTTTTTTTGGAAAGTGTTTCGTTGTAAAAAAAGAAAGAGCAAAGCATTATCTCTCTTTTGATAGATGATTGGGAAGTGTTACTATACCGAAGAAACAATTTTAAGTGAAATAACAGAATTTTTTCAGCTTCAAAAACGAGTAACGGAATGTGTAAAAACGTTACACTTCTTCAAGGAGTTAAATCTGGGACAGTATAATTCTGATCAACAAATTGGAAAAAAGTTATTATTGGGGAACGATTTTGCATGGTCACAATTCAAGGTTTCCTCATCATTATAAAATTATGGATGAATTTAATTTGAATTCTTAGTAACAGTTTCTCCAAAATTTTAGCTTAACGTTATTCGTGAAAAATATTTCTCAAAGATTTTCTGCTTCTGGATTAGTGTCAAAATTCCCCGAAAAATATATAAATTTGCTGGGTTTTCCAAAATATTTGGAATAATTTACAGGGTCGCTTAGACATGGACAGGGTATTTATCGCTGGTCATTCTTTTGGTGGTGCAACAGCCATCGCAACGGCAGCAACTTTTCCTGCTGATTTTTCTGTAGGTTCACTTTTCAATGTTGAGAAATCCTCGCTTTTAATGGAGCGAAATTGAATAAATTCCAGGCTGTCGTTGTACTTGATGGATGGATGTTTCCCATCGAAAGGGAGTTGTTCACACGTGTTCAACAACCTGTTTTATTTATGAATGCAGAAAGCTTTCAGTGGGAAGCAAATGTAAATGACATGTTGCAAGTTGTCGAAAACTCGAAACGCAGCGTTTTACTTACGTTTAAGTAAGTTCAAGAAATTTTGAAACACGGTTCATCAAGCAAATTTTGCAGTGACACATATGGAATTCATACTATTTTACATTTTCGAAACAGCAACGTTGATAAGGCAAGTTAATAAGACACATATGGAACTCAGTTTACATTTTCATAACAATATTAATAAGTCAAATTAATAAAAACGTTAACGAGACTTGCCTAATTAGAGAATAATAAAGTGTATGCAGCAGTTATTAAGTACTGAGAAACGAAATACTGTTTTTGACAAAAGACTGAAACAGTTTTGAATTTCAGTGAAGCAGTGCATCATTCTTTCACAGATTTCCCTCTCTTGATTCCGGGAATGCTCTGCCGTTGGTTAGGCTTAGAAAGCTTAAGCGATCCGATGCAATGTGCCGAAGCAATCATTGAATTTACTGTGCATTTTTTGAAATCTTATTATGAAGATTCTAATACTGCTCTTAATCTCTTAACCTATGAAAACATCGTCACAATGGAGGCCAGATTTGCTAGAAAACAGCTGTAATATCCGCACAAATGCACCAATTTGTCAATCTATTCTCTTTGAGAAAGACTTGTAACAGTTACTTAATCTCCGACTTATTTCATCTATGCAAATGCCACTTTCTTACTCTCTTGATGAGTCCCTATATTCATTACAAACGCAACAAAAAGATCGCAACAGAGTGCTGAGATATGAAATTAGACATAGCGCCATTTGAAATTTTTAAAATAATGATCTATATTTGTTTTGTTTGAAATAATTACCTGTTTTTACGAAACTAATTATAAAGTTTTCACACAATCTATCGGTCAGTCGAGCAGTTGGCAGTTTATCTGATAAAACTCAAATATTTCATCCATGTTTAAAGAATATACCTGCACGTACTCACGATCGCCACATTATATTTTCCCAACACCTATTTTATAACATTTGTAAAAAACATGGATAAATTTGTTATTTATTGAATGGGAATTTTCGAATTTGATAGCTCGTTTAGATCACTGGTTGAGATAATGATTGTATCACTCATCCTCAAGATGGCATGATTAATCACACCGATTGGTGTAATTAATGCATCAACAATGTAATGCGTCTGATCTGCCTTGATTGCACCAAATTTGCCCGCCACTTGAGTACGTTCGTGCATATCAAGCTCTACCTAAATTCATGTTCAGGATAATTTATTAGACCGATTTGATCGTCCATTCGATCAATGGATTCTTCTTTTTAGCACCAAAACTTCGCCAATTTATTGCTTCTGTTGCATAGGACTAGAGCGCTACTTAAGCTGAGTAACGATAGTGCTTCTGTATTTTTGCAGCCCAATGCAGCAAAATTATTTTGCATTGATTTTTCTGAATGAAATAAGCAAACCTGTTTGCCACCCAAAAAAGACATAAATCTCAGAAAACGTTCTCTCAATTCCGCTCTTTGTTTTTGTTCCAAAATTTCAGCTTCCTGGGCGCGCTCATAGCAAGTTTGATTCTCCATTTCGTCTCTTATCACCCTTAAAAACATCGGTTATCTCTTCTACTTTACAAATAACTTTTTCAAAAGTCCAAACCGCTACCCAAAGGCAATAATGCAGGCAAATCAGACAATTGCGAAATAAGATAAAAGTTAGTCTTTAACGATGGAAATTATGCAGGTGGAAATGATTGCTCACTTAACGGACTGAGTTCCAAATCCAATTTAGGATTATGTGAATTAGTAGAATCAATCGCACAGAACAACTGCGATGTTCTGATATTTAAATCCCACCTCTTATTGTCATTACATTAAATACAATAAATTCTGAAGTCATCACCATTGTTCAACAAGAATCTGTACACGGAATTAGCATTCGTTCTAACCGGAAGAATTGAATAATGTTTGCATGAAACAACTGATAAACTTGAACGTTAACCTATACACACATGAAACACTATATTATTTATTTCATTCACTCATAAAAATGAACTGTATAACAAAACAATAAAACAAATCAAATGATGCCAATTTTATTTGCAACATCTAGTGCGTCATAGTCAGGTGCCAAACGTACGTATGCCTTCTTCTCGTGATTTGGCGTCACCAAAGTATTTACCTACAAATAGTATCTTACTAATAATATTTTTATTGATCATTCGATGATTTTAGCGTCAATACAGCATTTGGAAAAAAAATTTTAATCAAAAATAATAGCAAAATGCAGAAATTCCCGTACGAGTCAAGCTCGGTAAGAAATTACCATAATGTATCCTTAAAAACATGATGTTACCTTCTGCACATCGATATTGTAAAGCTTTTTAACAGCTAGTCGTATTTGTGGCTTGTTTGCTTTGATATCAACAATGAAAACTAGAGTATTTGTATCTTCGATCTTCTTCATTGCTGATTCCGTTGTCAATGGGTGTTTAATGATCGCATATGCATCAAGTTTTTCGCGTCTAGGAACGGATTTCCGTGGATAACGAGGCGACCGTGGCAACTTCAACGTACGCGGTCTATGAAAATGCACAGATGTCCTGACCTAAAACATCACGAAAAAACTAGCAAAAAATTTTTCATCTGTCTAATATGACACATTTCTCCGAAATGCAAGCAAAAAATTGTTTAAACACGCACTCCTTTCTTATGGATTTTGAATTGTCCTTTCACAACCTTCTTCTTAGCATCCAAAGCTTTTGCTGCTTTTGACTTACCACTTCCTGCAATCCATATGAAAACGATTTAAAACAACATGAAACAAAATAAGCAGCTAGACAAAGATTCCTAAAAAGTAAAATAAAGCATACCTTTTTCTCCTTTATCAGTCCCAGCGCCGCCCTTCTTCAAATTCTGTTTCGGTGCCATTTTGCTGGAGCCCTAAATTCTTTCAGCGATCTCGCTTTCAAAAATAAAGTCCCATATATCCATTTTCAAAATTTCAAAAACTTAGAAATTATAAAGTCATACGGTTCCCGCCGTTATAGTAATACCATAGAACAATTTATAAAGTACTTTTCGCTGCTTTTTGAAGCAATTCACATCAAAGTATTATATTTCGCAAAATTTGTAGTTTACTTTCAATATGTTTACATAGTTTACTTTTACTTTTAATATGGACAACTCATGCCACTTCTGTACATAAGTAAATAATAAGTTTCATATTTTAGCAAATATTTGCGAAAAATTTGAGCAAATGTAATGAATCTTCTGAATTGTTCAAAGTAAAAGCATGGATGCACGAATCTAAGTCAAGAAAGAGATCAATTACAAACATATAGCAAAAACGAAAATGGACACAGGTATGAATAATCAACGCAATATGACTACTAAGAACATCTTAAGACTTTAATCAATTTTAATTAATTATAAAATATATCATTGCACAAATTAGTTAGTTATCATCGAGGGAAAAATCACAGATAAAAAATTTGATCCTAATATAAAACCATCATTGGAAAGCATAATAAGATTTGTTACAAACACGATTCTTGACTGCACTGCCGAGAAAAGTGATCTGCATCACGTATCAATCTTCTGTGGTTCAGTTCCTTCGCAATTCGTTTTGGATTTCTTTCAAATAGAAGATATGCAAAAAGACACATCAACACTAAAATTACAAATAGTATACAGACAACTATACCAAGTGCCATCTGATAAGTCACCAATTCTTTTCGAATTTTAGCTTCTAGAGATGGAAATGTTGTCGTCATATATTGCACCAACTAAAAATAGATTAAAGGTCACAGAAGAAGAACTAAGTGCAATAAAAATTAATAAAAAAGCAGATATGAATGTTACGTTATCTGAATTAAAAAAAAAAAAAAAAACTTCATAGAATGTAATAAAGATGCTACTACAAAAAAAGTCATTCAGTTGTTGAAAAAGAGAGGCAAAACTGTATTATCCATATGTATCATAACTTTTCAAGTAGAAACTCACCGAGGGAATGTATATATTCCAAAACGACACGGACTCCCAGCGATAATCGCGCTCTAATGTGCCAGGCTTGGTAAGATCAGAATATAACGAGTAATTGAAATTGAGATACCAATGCCTCCGTGGTTCAAAGGCTAACCAACTAGAATCCGTTGGAATGTTTGGATTCCTAAGAAACTATTTCGAAATTCAACATAAAACATATAATTTTAAAAGATTATTTGTGGCAGCTAACTCTACATAGTCATACGCATGTTAACCAATCGAAAAATGTTTCCGGTCAAATTTTTAGAAAAAAATTAAATATCATACATGCTTCGCAGAAAATAAAAATAGCATACTCCATACAACAATAAAATAACATACATGTACATCGCAAACTGCCGAAATATAGATGTTAAAAGCTGACTAGCATTTCGATCGCCATCTGTCCATGATATATTTTTAAAATGTTTCGGCAATAGATTCTTCGACATAAATGGGAAACCAAACAATAAGTATAAGTCACAATCATGACACACACCTGCAATTTTGATACGAAATGAATAAGCTTACACAAATACATATAAAGAAGATTGAATGTAATTTAGGACGAAGTCCACAAAATTATATAAAGGATAGTACTTTTTCTTTAGCCCTTGGTTTCAATAAGATTTCACGCAATCATGAAATGATTATGCAGCATAAAACTTTTAAATAAGCATAGTGGAATGGATCCATGTTGCTTTTTCACCCTTTGATCCGGATTATTTTCAAAAACAAAAATTGGAAAAACTTTTGAAACACCAAAGATGAAAAACGGACTCATCCAATTTGGAAGAAACCGACTGCTGGATCCTCGACCAAATTCATAATTATTGACATACATAAAGACTCGCGAACCAGCCGCAGAATGCAAATGTGCAGAAAGACTTACTGGAGCAACATAGTAAGCATCTGTCGCCATCTAAAAATCGGTTATATTCTATTAAATTCAAACCATGTATTAGAGATTTTGCTCACATATGGTTCAAATTTGGAAACAGCTCGGTAATAAAAAATTATGAAAGAAGTCGCCTTTTTAACAGTTAGGTCCTCAGCAGAACGTTAATTTCAGAGACATTTTAGCAATGTATTAGCTTCTCTTTATCAAGCACCATAAAAATAACCAACTCATCATGAAGACATCTTCTACATTGTAAGGCCCGCTCCTATAATTCCGGATTTGATGGATGTGAATTCAAGTATCGAATAGTTACAGAAAAAAACAAAATCAACAAACATGTATGAATTCACTCCTTATTGCGTGTTCATCGGACGCATCTGGCCAATAAGTATAACGATCAACAATTGCTTCCATTATTGCCTCGCGATTTGTCGTGTAATTGTGGCGAAAAGCATATTCAAGTACGTAATTTTTGAGATATTCATGATCGACCAAAACAAAATCACTAAATTCTCCCAAGAGCCGATTTTCAAGGATAACCTGCAAATAAAAGCTAATAAATTCCAACATTTTCAGCGCTTTCATGATTCCCAATGTTTGCAATTTTTATGATTAAAACATTAATTTTTCTGACTAACATTAGATCCTTAATTGCATAAACAAAAATCAACGGCAACGTCCTGAAACAGTGTTAAAAAGGTAAATTTCAGTAAGATAAAATACAATTAAAACATCGCTCTAATCTTGCAAAAGAATCAGAAACCGCAAGCACTCAGTTCGTTTGCTGTCATCAGTTGTCAGACCCGAAAGATGGAAACCATCACTGTGCTTCACAACATAATTCTCTGTTGAACCGAACCTTAACATGTAAACTAGTGCTGTGTTCTTTAACCACTCTACTATAGATTGACAAAGCTCTTATGTGCTCTATGACATGACTCACCTCAGAGCCATCCTCTTTATTGAAACCTGTAAGATAAGGTACAGCAGATGGATAGTTACTGATGCCAGTCGAGATAGAATTGAAAAGAAACACTGGATGAGCTGGGATGAATCGACCATCTATATGAGGCAAGAAGAGGTAACGATTGTATTCCACCTATAACACCGAATTATTGTATAAGTGACCAAAGAAAATACGTACAATTATTTTTTTTAATACATATACAATTTTCTACAATATCCTACCCGAATATTTTCTGAGAGCACAAGAATCATTACATGTCACCACCGAAACATGAAGTTTTTTTATTCAAGAAATTTTCGATGTTCAGATAGAATATTGCAGTGAACTTATTCGCATCTATTGCGTTAGGAAATAAACTGCAAGCATAAGACAGACTTGCTAGCAGTCTAAGATATCCTAATCAAGAGAGAAAAATTGATCGTATCCATAATACGTAAAATCAACGACTATGAACGGTTCTTACGGGTATTGTCTGAATAGCTTGTATAATGTCATTCGTTGATCGTGTTAATATGCAATCCCATATGTGTTTTGCTTCTGATTGCGTACAACCTAGATATCGTCCCAGTTTCACAGTGTTATTGAATGCAAGAACAGATTTGCCAATGGTTGAATGATATGAAACTTCGGCACCCGACATTGCAACACCTGCTCGGAATAAATCTGAAGAAAAAGAAAGTAAATTACTGTGCATTATCATTGATAGTAAATTACAGAGAGCTCAAAAATTAATACTTTTCGAAAAAGGTGACAGCATATGTAGACCAACACTGACCGCTCCAGCATCGTGTCCAACAATTGTCACCTGTCTTGGGTCCCCGCCAAAAGAAGCTATATGATCTTGTACAAATTGCAATGCAGTTCTCTGATCCTAAATGTACTTGAAATAGGAAACCTTCCAAATTCACATTCTTTTAACATTTCAAACCCTTACAATATTTGACATTTTAATTTAGATAAAGTAAAATTAAAAAAGGTTCGTTTTCTAAATAACATAACAAAGAAACACCTGCAAACCATAATTACCAGTATTTGCGTCGCCAAAACTTAAAAAACCAAAGGCACCAAGACGGTAATTTACAGTAACAACAACGATACCGCGTGAGGACAATACATGACCCGGCCATTCATTTGACGAACCAGTTTGAAAGTTACCTCCATGAAAGAAAACAATAACAGGGCGGCCATCACGCGATGTCTGAAATCAGCTATCGTTATAAAAATATATATTATAGATTTAAATGCATGAAAAATATGAGGAGCAAACTCACGAACATCAGGTGTGAATATATTCAGGTAAAGACAATCCTCGCTAATATGGAACGGATAAGGATCGTTAATAAATAATGTTGGTCGAGCTTCAACATCTTGTGCGCATGATGGTGGATGTTGAATAGCTAGAAATGGTTGTTTCCCAGGAAGTTCGGTAAGAATCTGCGGCGGCTGAAAAGTAAACTTAATTCATGCAAAAAATCAAGTAGCAACTTGCACACAATAAACGAACCAATATGCCCAACTACAAACAAAACTATTAAATCTGAAAATTAAATAAATCCTACTCCAATATTTACAATAAATCACGAAGCCCTATAAATACTATTGCGAAAACTTTTCTAAGTAGTTAACACCTGCTAGTTTAATCGAATACTTCGACTAGTAAGAATATAATATTATAGCACTGCAAAAGCGAGGTGCATTTTATAAGCGAAAAAGATTTCACCTTGAATCTTCTTTGTGAAACCGGCGGTTCAGCATATGGGATACCCAAGAATGTGACTACAGTGATGTTATTTAATGAAGGAATCGGGTCTGGCTCGAAATAACTCCAATCTTTGCGAATTTGTTCCATCGGATCGCGATCGGAAGTCCACGGCACACTGTTTACCGTCACTTTTTCGCCTACTAAATCACCAATTGATAACCGTATCAACACGTCATTCTTTCGTAGCTGAAATAATGGAAAATCCAAGAGGTAATTTGATTTTCAAATATTGAAATTTAGAAGATTTTTACAGAAAGGAACCAATTTGAGGTGCCGATCCATATAATTTTTCTGTGACTGGCACGGGATTCCTCTTCATTTCTTAGTAATTTCTATTCTACTGGATATCCTACCAGGTTCTACGTATTCATGTGGAAGTAATTCAGGAATGTCATTACGTTTTTAAAATGTAATCTGAGTTAAATATATCAGGAAATATCCTTGCCAGTTCAGAAAAGAACAAAGTAAGTACTGTTTAAAAACTATTGCAGAGTATTAGAAATACACAGCATGGAAAAAGCTTTCAGTTGAATGAAATAAGAAGCGCGTACCTGAGCAGAATGTTTACTACCGCTAAACCAAGCGTTCTCTTCATCCCACGAGTTTGTAGGTCGTGTAGGCTCACCATCTTGTCTGTCCACAGCGAAACATCCCACTGTCGCAACCCAAATCAAAGCTTTCAAACCATCCATACAATAACGCCCAAGGTCAAACCCAAGGTCAAGCAAGCCACCCCACGTACATCACAACTACCGCCCAACCCAAAAATCATTTCAGTCATCAGAACGCATTCACATACTCGCCATTACGGTTTGAAAATTCTTGTCCCAGGTGAAATGGACGCTCTCGGCAATCGCTTTGATTTTGATAATTGTTTTTTTGTAATATTGACAGTCCTCTTTATCGATATTCTCGGCCGCAGTTTAGATGGAATATTGTGCATTATTCGTGATCGGATCCCTACTAGACAATCTCTTTGCTAAATACCATTCCATTTTATTTTCACTTTCTTTTGCTTTCCATCTTATCTGTCATCTGCCTATCAAGTACAACACAAGAGCTTCTCTGTAAGTCAACTTATCATCTTCATTTCCAGCTCTTCTATGGAGTTTTGTGTTTTATTTATACTAAAACCGTTACTAAATACTACGATCTCTCATCTGACCCAAGAAAACAGACTGTTAGAAAGGAATAATAAATGTATATTTTACTGCTATTTAGTAACAATAATTGAAGCTAAAATGTAGAGGAAAACTGAATTAACACTGCTATTCGAATCTCCTAAAGTCTTCTAGTAATTAAAAATTCATCTTATATCGTTATTATTGATTTCAGCATCACTAATTGTATTACCATTGATTCAGTATAATATTTACTTTTGAGCTCGTTGCTATTTCCTTATTGTCAAGTTATGGGAAAAATACGTTAGATGAAAAGTAATCTTTGACCTAATTGGATTAATTGAACTCTGAAAGCATCTCTTTCCTGTCAGACTCGGATTAGATTGGACTAAGATGAATTAATATTTCCAAGAGAACTAGACCTCCAGGTGATAAAAAATGGATATCATATCACTTGTCATGGCTTCAGCTATCCTAATGCTTCATCTCACAGTTGCCACTTAACTTTTTTGACAGAAAGAATTCAAAAACAGAGCTTAGTATGTTCATTAATCGTCGGTAAAAATATATCCAAGATAGTGTGTATTTACTTGAATGAGATTTCAAACCATTTGCAAATGATACTCTCGGATCATTTGGATGATCACTTTAGCTAATTAACGCTTACCGCAATTATCACTATTTTTGGCCTTTAACAATTCAGATGTCGTATATCTAAATTTCAATAATGATAATCAGAGGGCTGTGGCGTATTTCTGAAATTGCAATTGAAGGATTTATTTTATATAGCAGTGGTACTAAAATATTTCTCATCTAAATAAAATTATTTCTTCATTCATTTAAAATAAAGTAAATTCAATAGAATTTAGAATATATTTGATCGGATAATTCTCATCCAACTTTTCGAGAAAAAAAAAGAATAATTGCGACAGCATCGATGACATGCCAGATATTTTACACATTGGTAGTTTCTAAATAGATTCATTAGTGGAACATTTTTTAAGAGTATCATTAGACATATTTTAAGTAAAGATTTCTTTTAGAGTCCTAATAATCCATCGTTGGCAATTTTCCACATTGTCCATCCTAGAATACAATATCTGTGGCAATTAGTGAATGTAAAATTCAAAAATTGGATTTGATAATCTGAAATATAAAAAATATAAGCAATTCACGATGTGTGCGAAAAGTGACGAATGTTTAAATGAATTTTCTAAATAAAAAAAAGTGGAATTATCTTATCAATCAATCTATGAAATGGATCATCGAGCCAACTGAAATAACACATTCTTTCACTGTTTTACACAGTGAAATGAATTCATTCCAAAAAAAAATCCTCATGTCTAATCATAATGCAGCGCATTATTTAAAATTCATTTCTTATCAGTGAATTTTTCCAGCAATCTGAATTGAAGTATCAAATAGAACTGATGGATAATTGGAGAGATAATAAGTAAATATCGTAATAAGTAAATATATTTACTTATTTTTTTATGTCTTTCATTCTTGTTATTCGATTAGAATAATTGTTTGGTTTCTACTCAGTAATATGGCAAATATAAGAGCAGATAGCTATTGGCCTATATTGAATTCTTAGTAATCATTAATTTTCTTCCGATGAAGTGTATTTATGGTATTTTGGTTTTGAACTTACGCTCTCAGGCATCTTTCACGTTTATCTTTTTCCAGTCACTGTTGTAAAAAATTTGGGATATTTAAATTCTTAAACAGTATGTGACTGACTAATGGTCATATAGCTATAGAATGGAATAATTTCGTAATAAAAATATTAAGTATAAAACAGCGAATGATATTAAGAACAATCATGAGAAAGAAATATGTAAATGAACATTCGGATGGGAAATAGTTTTGATAGTGAGAATTTGTCGGTTACAAACAGAAAAATGATGTAAAGGCTCATTTACATTCATTACAGATGGTGAATATTCAAAATCTTATCAAATCGTCAATCATCTAATTATACAATTCTTTAAAGGAAATACAATTATTTGTTTATAATTGAGAAATAATTTTGGTTTTCCCTCTCGACACTCGCTCAAATTTGACGTTCACCTCTTTAAACCATTTTCATTCTATTAAGCAGTATTTAATGAACGATTAGCTTATATTTGGAGTGCAGTTCAACCTCACAACAAACAGAATGTGGCAAAAAGAAATTGATTGATTTTCACATGAATTGTTTAGGAAGTATTAGGGTTGCTGATTTTCATTTAGAATGGTTCTATTTCGAGAAACTTAAAATTTGCTTCTTGGCCACAGAAGGAATATTTCAGGAGTGATGAAATTGAATGCGGAATATGAATGGGGAATTATCATCTTTGGTGAAAATAACAAAGGAAGAATTACACATGAAATGATGCGGTGCATTATTTTACATATTTATTTCAAATGAGAACGATTATGATATGTTGAGATAGTGCGGGATTCGGAATAGTTGAATTAGAAACGAGATCGGGAATGAACATTACATGATGGAGATTTTTTTTTTGTTAATAATAGTTTCGAGATATGAACAGTATTGAGAAGCTCTCAGTAAAGTAATATTTGCAAATTAGCACCAAAATTCTTAAATTATCTTTTTTAGGTCCTTTGCGGATGTATTTCGTGCGATTAGTTTCAAGTTGGGATTGAATTTAGTACAGTCACCGTTGTTTCTATTTACCAGAAATGTGGCCATGGTACAAAAGGAAGTGGAAGAATGGTTCGAAGAGTTAGAAAAGGACGAAAATGAGATGCTGGTGTTGTTGTTCAATGATAGTGGTATTTTACCTTTTTTTTTCTTTTTGGAGAACATTGGTAATATAAATTCGAATATAGTTAGTTGACGTAAATTATTAATCTCATCGTGTCGTAAATATTGTAAGTGAAACATTGACATTTTCTTTTTTTACTTTGCTCACTAATTTAAATTTTCTAAAAAAAGCCCTTTTTCTAAATGTAATTTCTTTTCAAATTCTTCAGATCTCTTAATTGTAGTTCAACTTCATCACTTTGATTAGCACAGAAAGGTAATAAATTTGGACGATTTCATGAATCTTGGTATTAGAAATCAAAGGATGAACAGTGATATCTTTCCGTTGCATATAATTGTCTTTTTTTTTTCACGATAACATCTTTTATAACGTAATTATCCTCAGTCACCTCTCTAACTTTCAAGGATACGGTTACAATTTTATTATTTATATATCAATGGCTTTGTTATCTCATTCTTATAGTTTATCCGGATGACTTGTTTTCAGACTCAACTGAAGTGGAGGAAAAAATGCAAGGAACTTGGAGAGAGAAAGTTTTGATTTATATACAAAAGAGCGATAGTTTGCTTCGTTGTGCACGTGATAAAACTGAAGAAATAATAATCTGTTGGATTAATGAAATTTGTGGACTTTTAAGTAGAAGATTTTACGAAAGTGAGTGTTTTGTTGCAATGTTTATCGTAGAAAATTTTCGATTTTTTTTGTTGAGAATTTTTCTTTCCATCTTGATTTGATTTTCATTTCATTTTGAAAATTGTATGCTAATTAATTTTCCGAATCTTTGTTTTCTACAATCTGTCTTCAGCTTCGTCAGCAGTAAAATTTGAATCTGAAGGTACAAAGGAAGCAGAATCAATCGAAACAAGTGTTACCAATGCGACTGAAGAGGAAGAAATGTTACCAAAACAACTGTCAAGTGAAAATTTCCTGTTTTTTTATTAATGTGTTCACATAATGTTTATAAAGTATTGAAAATGCGAAATAAGAAAGGCATAGGTAAAACATAGGCATTATTCAAATTAGTCTCTGTGAAAGGTATTCTTATAAAGCGTTAAGTAGATCAAATGAATAATTATGTCAGAATAGCTGAAATACAAAATGAGTAAATAATCATAAAATTGTTGAAAAATTGCTTAAAATGTTTCAGGTAGTGAAAACGAAGGAGAATATATAAGTGGAGATTTGCCATTATTCGATTTTACTGATGTTGCGAATATTTTTACGGATTTGCAAAAATTGGAAAAACCACCGAAAGACTTGGATTTGGTAGCGTGAATTATTTATACTTTATAAATCACAAAATTTTAGATAAGGAGTAAAATGCAAAAAAAATTTTTTTTTGCTCAAATTTGGGTTAATATATAACATTATTTTGATGATAGGAATGTTCTCTTATTCTTTATAACAGGTTATTTGTGCGCAGGATTATTTCCATTACTTATTTACTACAGGTAAAATACATCGATAATCCAAGACTGCATAATAGGTTACGTATTCCGTTCACCGAAAGAGAGCAAAATGGTCGACTACTTGCCATTCTTTCAGCTGCTTCATTTACGGAACTTCCAGATCTCCAAGTTACAGTGGTTAATTTTGTGGAAAAGATTCTCAAATCAGGGTTCCTTTTAAAATATTTTCCCGAAATTAACTTGGAAATGAATATTTCTAATTTTGATTAACTTTTGTATTTCAGTTTTATTTCTTTCATGCTTCGTGAAAATGCATATTGTATACACACTATTACTAGTGATGAATGCTATAGAACCCTCTTCACTTATCTTCAAGACATTATGCAAATATTGTACATTTCAAGGATTAATCATGTCCAAGATTTCGTAAGTTACTTCCACTTTGACAAGTTACTTTGAATAATCGTGAAATGCTTTCATTTTTGCAAGTTTTTAATATGGCATTAGTATTTTAGGACATTGTATGCAACGAATTTTTAAATTTCATGGAATTAATTCCTGAAAAATGTTGGTCAGCTATCGATGAAGGATCTCAGTTGGCGATTTTCAGAATGTTACAGAAGTTAACCGTACGTTTTACATTTATTTCTTGCTTCATAGTATTTCATTTTTTTATCATCGTTTGCTGAATATTGTATCATTCCATTGTTGGCTAATTATGCAGTTTGTTGCTTAGTTTCTCTAATTTTTATATCTACTTATGTGTCGTTATAATGATTATGATTTGTCGAAAAATTTTGCAGATCGATACCTCTAATTCTTTGACAGATCTACATGAAGACCATGAATTAAATATAATATACAACGATAACGAATGTTTTGATCATCAAATAACGCTTGATCTCAGTGATTCCATCGAGAATTTTGGACATAAGAACGATGAACCAGTACGGATCAATAACGACGGTATAGAACCTCCGGAAGATTTCCGAACATTGTCAGTTTACGCTACCAGCAATGATATACTTCAGCCAGGTGCATCGTTTATGCTGGGCATTATTATAACTGTCTGCATATCAGTAATGTAGCTTTGATATTACCAATATGCAGAAGTAGAAAAGCATTCTGAACTTTATGGGCTCATTTCTTATGAGCTCAAATAGGAAAAAATGAATCAGACCGAAAGCACATGTAGCGGAAGTGGAATAGATAATGATAAAAATAAGTCTAAGCGATCAAGATAACTATTTCTTAGTTGTATCGGAAAATGGTTTATTGCACACTATCTAATCACTAGAAATGCATATTCCTAACATACAAATTGCCATCAGCCCAGTCATTTGGTATTTAGGTTAACTAAGGAATTACTTTTTTAAATGTATTTTGGAAAGTGTATTCCAAACATATTTTATAGCATAACATATTTTTGCAGTTCAACCTTATATTCGAAGAAATATCATCAGAGGGAATTATTCATGTCAAGAACATTATCTCGATGTGCAGTTTCGTCTTATGCGTGAAGATTTGGTTGGTCCGTTACGGGATGGCATAAAGTTGTGGAGAGAACAAAAGGGAAAAGGTCACAATGAGACTCTGAATGAATTCAGCATTATTAATTTAATAGATCGAGAATTCCTAGTATGGGTGTTATTTCTCTGTAAATATTATCAGTTACAGAGTCAGTGTGTTGTGGAGTTGAAATAATCTTTGAAATTACAAAACTCAAATGTGATATGAATATCTTCATTTGTAGAAAGTTTTTTGTCGTATGCAGTGGATGCATGTGAAGAACTTGATATATTAATTGTGAGAGGTGTTACTGTGGAAGGCGCACAGTTAAAACGAAGTACAGGAGAAATTATTCGTTACGTCATTTTCCAGGTTGAAACTATCATCAGTGAAAATTATCTTTGAATTATGAATTCACTTTTAATAATTGTTATCACGTTAAATGTTTATATTTAACAGTGAAAAACTGGTTCTAAAGGTAATTTTCAGCCAATGGACACGGATAGTCTTTGGACTTCGCGACTGAAGTATGGTCAACTAATAACCATGTCAAGCGATGGGTTTCAAAGTTAATAACAGTTTTTTATTTATAATTCTAGCTTTAAAGGGACAAATTAAAATTCTCTTTTATTAGCGTTTATTGTAAGCAAGTGGTGTTTGTTCTAATTTATTTCTTTCTTAATTATTTTTCCAAATTATTTTTCTTGGCCTTCAATTTTTGATGTTAAAATTAGTATACATTGTAACTTCCTCTTAGTCTGAATCATGAAACTGTTCCCGACTGTTTAGATGAAGCCTTACTTGCGACTATTGTTGAGAAAGATTCTGATGATTTTTCAAAAGGGAAATTGGGATTATGTTTCTTTGATGATCATTCAGTTTCACGAGGCAAAATTTACACTTTAATTGAATCGAGCTCGTATTATGAAATGTATCAACATGTTCTGGAACGTATTAAGGTACTACTGTATTTCTCATCAAAAAATGAATGTTAGCAAGAGTTATGAAAATGTGCGAAATGCAGATTACTTCGTGCACAAAATAGAAATGGTAATCTTACTATCAACACCATATATAAAGCAGAAATGCTAGGTATCAGTAAGGAGGTTAACTCTCTTCGTCAGAAAAGTTTGGGATATGGTCGCAAAGTAGAATTCAAAAGTTTATTTTATAAAGGATGATGTTTTTTTTCTCCATAAGTAATCAATATCGAAATATATGATGTGCTGTGAAAACTGCTTAATATTTAATGAATTTGCAGCGTTTCGATGACGATCACAGGATTCCATTTGAACGTTTTTTATTGAAAGCTGAAACCGACGTTAAACTTCCTTCATATCTTGTTCAGCAAATAGACGAAGATTCTCACAGCTCCTCGGATTCTTTGAACAGCGAATATACTGATTACAGTGATTCTCCCTCAGCCAAAAGTAAGTTTTATTTTATTATATATTAATGTATGGTAAAATATTTCAAACGATTATCTTACAATAACCTTTTGAAGTTCTGAAAATTTACAAATTTTTACATTTTTGCATAAGATAGACTTGGAAAAAACAGCTCATTTCATATTTGTGGAATTGAATCTGACTGACAGTTAATTTGTTTTACAATAATTAATCAAATTTAACGCGATTTATAGAATCTGGGATTGCTAAAGAAATAAGCATTTTTGGAACGAAATATACAATGGATAAATTGAAATATACACTTGATGGTGACAAAGTGGCTTGTGGTTTAGACAATGCCCAACGAAACGCATTATGCTACGCTCTTATGCATGAACTTGCCTTGATTCAGGGACCTCCGGGTACAGGTTGGTTCATTTATTCGACTTTGCTGCTGTTGGTTAGGCTAGTATGCGGAAAAATAATAGTGAACAAAAAAATTGAGGAAGCGAAAAAGACCGACATAACGCAAAATTATACATTGCTTTTTTTCTTCATGATTTATTCAACATTATTTATAGAGTCCAAATTACATATCTTAAGTAATTTTTTTCGCGATGGAGATGAGAATTTATTCTTATCAAAATAAGGCTGCGGTAATAAGCTTGAAAAGACTTGGTGCACATATGAATAAATAGAATTAGTGAACACGAAATGAATATGCACAACTTTTTTGAAGCTCGAAGATCGGAAATCGGTTGATTTTTGAGATATATTCAGGGCTAATGCGATATTTGAGATTTTCTTGAATGAATGCTTCCTTTCTACTATGAACAATCCTCACTCTATTTTTACTTTCCACCTTTTTTCATAGCGATGATTCTGTCTCGAATAAGGTCATGTTGAAGTATCGCTAACTTAAATTGATTTTTGGCTGATTTTTGTTTGAATAATAGATGTTGTAAATCTAGGAAAAACTTTCCTTGGCCGTCTTATTGTACGCATTTTGCTGGAAAATATGAATATGTGGAATCCAGAAAGAATAAACCCAATGTTGGTCGTATGCTTTACCAATCATGCTCTGGATCAATTTTTGGATGGTATTTTAGTAGATTTAAAAGAAGATGGACGTTATAACAATGAGTTTCCTAGTATTGTTAGATTTGGTTCACGCTGTAAAAGTGAAACTTTGCAAAGGTATATTACTTTTTAAAAGTTAAAATAATTTCACACAAATAGTTGACCAAGCTCCATATAGCAAAGCTATCGCTTATTTTTAACTATTTCTTTAAATAAAAATTTAGTGCTGCGGTTTTACACTCATATTCTGAAAGAATTTAATTTACAAAATAATTGTAATTCATTGTAGGTACACAAAGCGACCCGTGCTGGAAGAATACGCTAACCTAATTTCGGATAGAGAAAAACATAAGGTTGCTTTTTGCTTCTTTTTTTCGTGGATGTATCGTTAAAATGTTTTATTTTGTTTAAGCTTATAATATTTGTAACAATAAAATTCTATAGGCGAATCAAGTAATACTGAAAAGAATTCATTTATTGCAAAAGATTCGGTCTGCAGCTGCTATATTAACACTTCGTAAAAGTAAAATTCTATCTGTTAAATATATACAACACGCAATGTTACCGGAACATATCCAACAGTTTAACATGCAACGACAGAGCGGCGGAAAAGGATGTTCAGTCGGTATTTCAAGTACTTTATAGTGCAGTTTTATTCGATATATGTTTGTCTTTTTGTTTGCCAGTAGTTTTTTGTTTTTTCATAAATTATCTCAGCTTAAATTTTAGAGATTTAATTTTTTTTTGAAAAAATTTCATCTACCTGAAACGTGACAGTTTTTCTAATTTCATAATGAATTTATTAGCGTTAAGGTATTTCAAATACTGAATTTCAACATTTCATGTTTTTACACTTTTTAGATGGATGAAATATTCTGTAGATGGCTTCTGGAAGGTGATGCTGGTAGAGAAGATTGTGTCAGCGTGGAAGGCGATACAAATGAAAAAATCATTGAATGTGAGGTGAGGAGTTGGAAAAAAGATAACTTCTAAGGCTGATCAGATATTAGACGTAATGGATATACATGTGGTAATTATCGCCTTCGGTTAAAATACTTTCTGTATTCCTGATCCTGTATTCTGCAAGTTTACGCTTAAAATTCCTTTGTAGGAGAAGAAATTTTCTGAAAGTGAAAGTCCAGAATTGTCAGCTTTATGGTCCATGGATGAAATATTTGTCAAAGAAAAGAAAAACGAGCAGAGGGAAAAAATGCTTGAGTCTGTTTCACAGATGGATGAATGGCTAACGTGGAAAAAAATGCAGGCTTGTTTTCGTGATTAACCTGAATATAAGAATTCAAAATTATGTTTCTAATAGAAGTAGAAATTAAAAAAAAAATGAATGATTTATTGGTTTATTCAATAGCAGTATTGTAATCCTGTAAAAAAATGGCGCGAATTAGTATTTTTTTGCGGATTCGTTTTTTCGTAGATCTATATCGATGTTATTAATTGATTAATTGATCGGCATGCAGATAGGCTTGTTTGAATGAAAATTAGGTTGTCAATTTTCTCAAATAATAATTTTCTCAGATTTTCTCAAAAATTTTCTCAAAAGAAAATTTCGATGAATTTTTCAAGATAACCAAATATGTATGATGTCCAGAAATGTATGTTGGAAAAATACATGAAAATGTTAACTGAGGAATCTTCAGGAACGGCTGCTTAGGACTAATCCTGATATAGACGACTATTACCACACTGGTGAGTGGGATCTTAATAAAGATGCAACCGCTGTCGAAAATGTGACAATATTCTCAGACCACGGCAAATCAAAGCAGCGCACAAAGGTAATAATTGTCGAGTCTCCCGAAATCAATCTCTAGTTATGACAGTTTATATTGCAGATCCATTATTGTTATTCTTTAATCTTCAAAAATTAGAATTTTTGCAGTACTTCAGGCAAAATGCAATGCCGAACTTATTGCAAGGTTAGAGGATGTAAAGGACGATATATTAAAAGTCAGTTTTGTTTCTCTTCGTAATTTTTCTCATCAGCCAATTCTTTTAATTGTTAACTTAATTCTTCTGCTTATCCAGGAATTTTGCATCTGGAAAAGCTACCATTTCGTAAAGTGACTGCTGAATTTGATACTAATATAAAATTATGAACTCTTACCTTTATCCTTCGTATTTCACCAAAGCGTTAAATTTTTTAGAGTTCACCGCTAACGTTAGAAGAAGCTTCGTCAATTAAAAACCTGCAAACTTTACATAGGCACCGACGTTGGGCTCTATATATGCATTGGATTAGTAAACTGAAGGTTTTTGTAACTAAAAAACTGGATATACTGATATGTAAATATCAAACTCTGATGGAGGATGTTAACAAAGAATACGATCATTTGGACGAAATCATTCTGCGAAAGGCTTTGGTGCTGTTTCTGCATATTTTATTAAATTAGTCAAATGTCTACTGCCTTTTGGCAGTTTATTATTGAGATTTTTATAGCAAAGATTGTTTCTTTTCAAAAAGCTTTTTCAAATATTAGTGATTCTTGCATCGTGCTTTTTAATTTCAAATGCTACCACTCAAAATAATACTTTTCTGACATGTGAATATTTCAATAATTCATTGCTGTACTTGTGGCTTTGCACAATTTTTTGCATATTTACTTTATCTGAATTATAGATTATCGGCGCAACTACAACTTGCGCTGCAAAAATAAAGCCGTTTTTGGATCGCCTTGGTTGTCCTATTGTAATAGTAGAAGAAGCAGCTGAAGTTTTGGAGGCTCATGTTTTGACAAGCATTACAGATAAATGCCAGCATGCTATCCTGATTGGGGATCACCAGCAGCTACGTCCAAATACTGGTATAGAATTTGTTCTTCAAAATAAACTTTATTAACTTTGATAATAGAGTGTTGCAATCATAAATGGGCTTTCATTTGAGGGGATATAAAATAATTTGAGCAGAGTCTCAATTAGATAGTTCTCTTTGTTCGAACCATAAAGAAATCATTCATCTTTTATAATTTTTTGATCGAATTTTGCTTTGGTATATTTATGGGAAATTTATGGTCAATTTGTTTCATGCATAAATTGTTTGCTTTTTCTCTAGTTACTCATAGTCACAATTTTTGCTTAATTTCAAGCTTGTTTTTACTTAATTCTCAGTGATTTCTGATTTATATACGAGATTAACATGAATCATTTACTTCAGCTGTATTTGCTCTTGCTCGCGAGTATAATTTGGATATATCTTTGTTTGAAAGGTTGATCAAAAATAATTTTCCGTACGCAACACTGGAAAAGCAACATCGTATGGCTACTGCTATATCAAATACTATTATGCCAGAATTTTATCCGTTAATGAAAGATGCGGACAATGTTTTGAGCTATCCAAATGTTGAAGGTTGGCCTTTTAAAGTTATTATATGAAAAGTTATAAATATAGGCTGTAAGCGAGTTGAAATGGAAGTATTTTTTATTATATAGATCTAATATGAAGTTAAGACAACTCTTATGAACGCAAATTTTTTGATTTCCCAATTTCTTATATTTTTTGCAGGATGTCGGAAAAATTTATACTTTATTAATCAATGTCATGAGGAAGATGTATTCTTCTCAACTTCGCATAAAAATTTATTTGAAGCAGATTTTATGGTCAATCTATCTGCTTATTTTGTTCAGCAGGGCTATGCTTGCTCACAGGTCTATTTATTTATTTATTTGTTTTTCAAAAGTGGAAGAAGACTTCCCACGTCGACTATTGAAGCAGATGTCATTTAATGATAAATAACCATATTTTCTTGTTCTAGATCACCTTATTATGTGCCTACACAGCTCAGGCAAACTGCGTCAGAACAAAAGTAATGTTAAAATTCAACAGTGCAAACTTTCCTTTGGTTGAAACTATTGATAATTATCAAGGCAGAGAGAATGATATAATCATTCTGTCGCTTGTACGTTCACAACCGAGTGATGGTGTCGGTTTTCTTAGGGTACGTTTATAATATTCATTTGTTGAGAAATTGCAAAAAAATGTTGAAATTCAAAAGGTTTAGATTAGTTAGCGAATTTTATTTTTTATATGAGCTTAAACAAAGAAGTAAATTATCATTATTTAGGTCCATAATCGCGTATGTGTGGCTTTGTCACGCTCCAAATTTGGTCTTTACATGATAGGAAATATGCATTTCCTTAAATCCAACTCACAGCTCTGGAATCGGCTCTGTACTGCTTTGACAGATGCTCATTGTATTGGCGATGGCTTTCCGGCATTTTGTGCAAAGCATAATGTTACTCAGGTAATTGGAACATAATTTTGCAAGTCCAGTTTCCAAACAACTAATTTAAATCTAGGTTTACTAGTTTTAAGGAACTTTTTTTTCTTCAGATGATCTACAACGCGGATGAATTTCTGACAAAAACTCCTGAAGGCGGTTGCTATCGTTCTTGTGATTTTGTACAACCTTGTGGTCATATCTGTGGTCAACTTTGTCATCGGTATAATCACTTTTAATTCTTTTAGTTTCTGATAAAGTATTCTTATAATTCAAATCATAAACAGAACTTTAGTGTGATATTATATGACTGTGAGTATGATAATTTTAAACTAGCCAAATTATGAAGAAAAATTATGGAAAGTACGAAAGCAAATAGGAAAAAGTGAATCAGACCGAAGCACCATGTAACGGAAGTGGAACAGATAATGGCAAAAATAAGTAAGCGATCGAGATAACTATT